CTTCGTTGTCCTTTTCTAACTCAGCTTCTTAGGAGTGACGCGAAGAGGTGAGAGCAGGTCATATTTTAGAGCTTGCTAGACTGCCCTTAATAACACATATCCACAGCCCCCCTGTAATCGTGTAAGTATTAATGTGGGCAGAGGCTGTAGCTCAGTGGTAGACTGTGTGCCTAGCAGACATGAGACCCTGGGTTTGATCCCCAGGGCCAAAAAATGAATACAACAATATAAAGCAGCCAGACTCTGAAGACACCGGGATACAACATAATTGTCATATACTGAATAAAGTGCTGAACATTCCTGTTTTCCCCTACAGAGATTCTCATATCCCTGGGAAGCCAACCTAATCAAAGGTAAACTCTTAAGAGAAGAAACTAACTAGTCATGATTCAGCACATTTAAAAAAGGATTTATACCCATGCTTAGAAGGACAACCAAAGGAAACGCCACCTGAGGTCTAAACAATGGTATCTCCTTGCCCTTTGATCTTAGTTTAAGAACACTTTGTACAACTTTTTTCTTGGAATACCACCGAACCTCACATTTAAATCTCTTTAGGGGAACATCCTCTGCTTCTTCCGACCACTTCTCCCAAATTTTCTCCCAACTGCTTTTGCTGCCGAGTAGCTTGCAGGCATGGATTTATTTTCTGCTAACAAAAATCTTCCTAAGAACTAGCAGCTCCAATGAAGAATAGTCCTACTGAGCCCATGTTTATGAGGGAAAGACAGTACAGTGTATCTGGTTACAAAGACAAGTAGGGAGTATTCCATTTTCCTTCTAATTTATGTTTCCCTAGAGTCATTTTGTTCAGAAGACTGCCAGTATTTTTAGTACAATAAGTTTCTTGTTACTTGGACTAACACAGAGTGATTCCCTTTTCTGAGCATGATTTGAGTGTTTCTATTTCACTGAATCCTAGCATGGGGAAATCAACACCTCATTAATTCAAAATAAATAAGTGAAGTCTGAAATGCAGAAAAATGCAGCTTTAAGGAACTGTCAGTACTACTCTCACATGCATGAGAGATGTGTAATGTATATGACACATTAATATACATGTGGGTAATGAATGAAAAAGAGATGTATTAATAAAACCTCATGATGCACATCAAATACCACAAACCTCAATGTTCTAAATGTCTCTACTTCCAACTTATTGCCCAGTAAAAATAGGTAACCCATTTCTAAAGAATCAGATCTTACAGATCAGTGAAGTGTGAATTTAAACTGTGAGATACCAGTACTATCTACAATTTCATCATTTCGATCTTTTCAAAGTACCTTCCCAATGCTCAGCATTCTGTTTGTCACATAGGCCACTATGATTTCAGCCTCTGGAGGCTGACATCCCAGAGGAGACACAAACAAATGAGTAAGCAAATTTAAAAAGAAAAATTCCACGTGATCAGCACAAGGAAGGAAACATGCAGGGTGCTGTGTTGGTAAAGAATCGGGAGGTGCAGCCCCAGTTTACACAGAGAAGGGCAGAGAAGGTCTTTCTAGGATGTTTTCAGGTAGCACCTCAAGGGTATTTCAGGATACTTCTCCAAGGTCACCAAATCGGCAAGCTTGTTTATTGGCTGCCAGGGCATTTTTAGCCGTGGAAAACAAACAGAAAAATGGCCCCCATAGCCCTGATTAAATGCAAGTTCACGAGCTCACCTGGGCAGTGTGAACAAGCTGCAGGAGCAGCAGACGGTGAGTCCTACACACCCAACCTGCTCACCCAGGCGGAGTTTAAAACAGTCAACATAAACAACAATGAGCTGGTCAAATGACCAGCATGCGGGCTACCACCAGAGAGAATCATCCTATTGATTCATACTTCCTGATAGTCCCGCCAGATGACAAAGCTCAGGGTGTTTTAAATGTATTTCATGAGTAAACTATTCCTGCAGCCCCACAGAAGAGGCATGTTTACAACTGTGGAACACTTTCCCTTACACTCCTGCTGTGTAACTTTCCTAATGCAGTAGACAGAGTGCTTCAAAACGCAGTGCTATCTGTGGAGGTTCTTTAATAGATGAGTCATGGAATACAGCAGTTAACTTGACACTGACACCAATAAGGAAAGCAGTGGAGTCCTCCCAACATCCTTATTAGAGAATCCACATTGCTAAGCAATTAGTTTCTTCAAAGGACCTGTCCTCTTGCTTAGAGCCATGGTAATCAGATTTTATCACATTGTGAAATGCTAAATGGATTAAGATTAAACAGAATTGCTTGATTGGCAGCTGCATGGGTCCCAGCTTGGATTCTACTTACCTAGAAAAAGGTTTGTCCTTTACACGGGGCCCAGGACTGGGCTGACAGTAGGCATGACTTAGAGTCAGAGAGCCCAGGGATGGGGTATGAGAGGCTTGGGGTAGAGGTCCCTTCCCAGGACACTTTCAATGCCATAGTAGCCTGTCCTCCCACCTGAGATTGTGTTATTGGTGAGTTCTCTTGGAACTTTCCAGATTTTAAACAAATCCTTTATGAAAAATGAGAACATCCCTAGGGAGATACTACATTAAACCACCACCTTAGAAAGATTAGTTGTCAACCAGCTTCAAATAGCGTGATTCAGAAACAGCGGGTACCTGCAGACCACAAAAGGTCAGAAAAGCAAGGAATGAGGGGAATTTGGAGGTCACTAAACACAATAAATGTCACCATACTTCACAAACTCGCCTCCAGCCAGCCCTTGAAATTTCAAATACCATCTAAAGTTCCTGAACCCTAGGATCACTCGGGATGGTTTAAAAATACAGACTGCCCCACACACTCATTGATTGAGATGGAAAATCACCCAGGCATCAGGATTTTTTTAAGCTCCTAGGTGATTCTAACCTGTAGGAACATTTGAAAATTGTGGTTGTAATCTTTAACTGGGATGGTACATTGATTCCCTTCAGATGTCAGGCTCTTCTGCACCAGAGGTTCTTGGCCTTGGTAGCACTTTGGAAAAATCTAAGGCACTTTAAACAATCAAATAAAGATGGCTGAGCCAGGCATGGTGGTGCACATCTGCAACCCCAGCACTCTGGGAGGCTGAGGCAGGAGGATATCAAGTTCAAGCCCCAGGCCGGGCAGCTCAGTGACTTGCAAGGCCCTGTGTCAAAATAAAAAATAAAAAACAGGGGTAGGGCTGTAGCTCTGAGCAAAGGCCCTGAGTTCAACTGCTGGGGAAAAACACACCCTGAGCGCTGATGCAATGGTTCTTTCTGGGTCTAGATGCAGACCCAGCATCCCTCACCCTAAGTGCCCCAGGTAATGCTAACCAGCAGCTGCGCTGAGAGCCGGGCCCAGCAGGGGCATTGTTTTCCCAGAGCCTGGAACCGTGATTATCTATGGAGGACCCAGGAGCGCCAGTTATATTCTAGGGAGGACTCTCCCCAGAGAGCAGCAGAACATTTCTCCCAAAGCTGTCGGAAACTTGGAGGAAGGGGGCGCTGAGGGAAAGAACAGGGGTGGAATTTGCTAAATCAGAGGCATCCAGGAATAAGGAACAACACTGACCCGACCACCCCCCCACCCCCCCTCCCCGCCGCCCCAACCCTCCCGCCTCCCACCGAGTTTTACTGACTGGCTTGAGAGAGGATTTCCTTGGGGCGCTTCCGGGAGGTGGCTCAACCTTGGATTTGGTTCCAATAAATTGTGAAAATTCTTGTCCACTCAGATCCCCTGGCAGTGCAAGTTGGCAGACTGGCGGGCCCCGCGCCTCCAGTCCCTGTGAGATTCTGTTTCCAGATTTTCTCAGGAGGATTTCTGCGCCGCCTGGATGCCAATCTCCCCGCCTCCACGCCCTCCGCTCCCCCGGCCCCTCCCCTCGCGGCCTCCGCCCCCGCGGCTCCGCGGAACTGAGATTCGCAGACACGCTCGTTTTCACAAGATCACCCAGATATTTACAGGGGAGTCGCACGTTAGTAATAGTGGCCTTAGATGACGGCCACCTCTCCCGGACCCTGCGCTGCTAAGCCAAGTGTCTGCTTACGCACCCGGGGACCCCGAACAGGAAGCCCGCCGAGACGCACCCAGGGCGCTGCTGCGCCCCTTCGGGGTGTGGCGACTGCACCCCAGGGCTCCCCGTAGAGGACGCACCCCCTCCATCCCTGCCTACCGAGTCCACTTATGAATGAAGAGTCACAAACAGATTCATTGACTCCAAAAAGATCCTTCCTCTCCTCTTCCTCGTTTGCAGATGAGAAAACTCAAAGCCGGGAAGCCTGAGGGACTCGGCCGGGTTTGCCACACAGCATTTGTGGCACAGCCCGATTTAGCCGCCCTTGAATTTCCATTGTGTTGCCTGGCAACGGGCTCAGCCGCGCTCAGCGCCCAACCCCGACCCTGCCCCACACCCTTTCCCCGCCTGGGCAGCTTTGATGAACGCTTCAGCCTGTGGGGCCAAGAGCCAAGGGGCAAGGGCATGTGAGCAAGGGCGCCGCGTGGATTCCCCGAGGGGCTGGGAAGCGGCCGCCTGCGCGAGCCCCGCCTGGCTGGGACGGGCGCGCTCCGCGCTCCTGGCGGGACCTTCCTCCGCCACCGAAGTCCTCTTTCCCCTAATTCCGGGGTTTCCCGTTAAAACACTCGGGCCAAGTTTCCAAAGTTCTCAACTGCCTGGGAGTCCCTAAAACTCACGGTGGGAAAACTAGCAAGGGGGCAAAAGAAGACAGTTCGGAAGGGAAGGAGTGTTGGCAAGGCTCCTCCATCCCTGGACGGCTACTCTCGGGGACTTTTCCGCCGCCGGAGTCAACTTAGCCCGACCCGGGCAGGAGCGAGAAAGCGCAGACCTCGCCCCGGGCGCCTGGGAAGAAAGCGGCCCGGGTGGCGGGGCCGGAGCCACGCAGAACGCAGCCGGCCGGGCGCGGAGAGCGCAGGTGGCGCAGGTGGCAAAGCGCTGCCAGCGCCCCGCACCCCCGCCTCGCCCGGCGGGGCCAGCGCGGGGCTCCTCACCCCTTCACACCACCACCCGGGCCTGGGACCCCGGAAAGGAGCGAGGTGGCCGAAGTCCTTACCCAGGTTCACAAAGCTCATGACCATGTCGGCGTCGCTGAGGAAGGCGCTGTCCTGCGCGCTGGCCAGCGGGGACGCGCCGCCGCTGGGACCCGGGGCCAGGAGGCTCTTGCGCAGGAGCGGGTGTGCGGCTGCGGGCGGCGACAGCCGGAGCTGGGACGAGCCGGCCCCCCCGTGGGGGTCTCGGTGCCTTGGGTCCCCCTCCAATGCCCCGTCCTCGTCGTCATCGGCGGACAGTGCGTTGTACAGATCCAGCATGAAGAGGGGTGCGGACTTCAGCTGCCCGGGAGGGAGCTCCCCGCGGGGCGCCTGCTGCTGCTGCTGCTGCTGCTGCTGCGGGAGCGCGGGCGGTTGCGGCTGCTGGAGGCCGTGCAGGGGCCGCGGCCGGTGCGGGAGCCCCAGCACCGACAGGATCTCCTTCTGCATCTCTCGCTTCTCGTGCGTCTTGAGCCGCCGGTAGAGGAAGCCCGAGGACGAGGACTGCGGCGGCGGCAGCTGCTCCGTGCGCGCGGGGCTCCCGCCGTCCCCCCGCAGCTGCGCCCCGGCGGCGGACAGGGCAGGGCGCAGCGGCAGGGGCCCGCAGCAGCCGCACAGCAGCCCCCACCACCAGCACAGCCACCGCGCCCTGTGCCCCAGACCCGGCATCCCCGCCCGGCCGGGCTGCCCCGGGGACCGCGCGAGGCGTCGAGCGGCGGAGCGCGGCCGCGGTTGCCCTGGGCGTGGATGGCCCCCCGCCACCTCTCAGCGGGCTCGCTTCCCCTTCCTGGCCCTCAGTCTTTATCTCGCATGGTCGTCTGGGCACCCCCAGCGAGCCCAGTCTGGAGCGGAGGCGGAGAGGAGATCCGCTGGAGCCCGCAGTCTGCGCCGGTCCGAGCCAGGTACGTCCGCGGCGGGGTCACCCGGGACCGGCCGCCCGCACCGTGCGCTCCCGAGCCTCGCGGGTGGCGGGGCGGGGGCGCCTCAGCAGCGGGGCCGCGCGCCCGGCATCCTCCCCGCGCACGCCCCTCCCCGGCCCGCAGGGCCCCCGCGAAGTTCACCCCGCTGGGGCCGGTGCGGCGACGAGGCGTCCGAAAGGCCAGTGGTCTCCACGAGGCTGAGCGTCCTTCCGGCTGCCAAACTCTGCGCCCCACCGCCCGCCCTCGGGCTCTGCCGCTCCCCTCCCCAAGCCAAGGAGGCTAGGATCTCGCTTTCCGTTCGGAGCTCGCGCGGCCGCCCGGCCAAGCCGATTCGCAGAAGGGCTGGGAGGAAAGGAGACCGGTCCGCGTTGGCCCCGGAATTCGCAGTCCGCAGCCTCTCCGCGCCACGCTCCACCGAGCGGCCAACGTGGGCTTTTTGCTGCGCGTCCAGCTCAGGTACCACACTCCAGCCCTCAGGACTCCCCGCCCTCCTGGGTGACCGACAGGCTGGGAGCCAATGGAGGGACGAGCTTCGCGGGATATTTAAATACGCCCGCCCCCTTCTTTCACCCTCCCTTCCCGAGGGGCGTCGCCTTGGCTGTGGGTAAGTTTCAAGAACAGAGAATTCTTGGAGGCACTGGGGAGCAGCGGGGTACCGAAGCAGAGGTCATCTCTAGTCAGAGTGATCTGATCAACGTTCCACTATAAACACTTCTTTCTTACCATCATATCAAAGGCTTAAATTTTGTTCAATAAATGTAAACAAAGCTATTAAATTAATATCGCCTGGATTAATTGAGAAAAAAATGATCGTTTTCCCATCCCCTCCTTAGTTTCTTATTGATGTAATGTAGGCGTTTAGCGGACACGTGGTTTTCAAAGGCAGCTGCTGGAAGTCGGGACACACCCTCCAAGGAAGCTGCTCACAAACTGGCCACAGAGAGGGCCAAACATAAGCCAGACTGGAGTCCTGAGCGTTTCCGCTCGAATGTTTGGACTTATCTATTCACCGGGGCTTTGGTTTGGCTTCTTAAGCTAGCACCCAAAAGAAAGAAGGTGTTAATCCACTAATGTAATAGAAAAACCAAGCGTACCTTCTTGGAAATGTCTCACTGCTTCTCCAAATTGTCTGTTAAGGTTGCATTTTAATGTACTGAAATACAAACTAATTTACAGAGTACGAGGTAAAACTTGGGAGGAGTGGTAAAGATAATTCCAGGCAGGGTAGGGGCTGGCATGCACGCTGAATGGCAGCTGATAAGGCCCTGAAAGGTGGTGCTGTGGACTTGATACAATGTAACACCAACAGCAACCTGTGCCAATAAGGATGCAAATTCACTCGCCCACCCGATATCCAAGAATACCATTCATTGCTGGATCCTAGAAGCAAATTCACTTTTAACATTAGATCCTTTTACCTGGGGGAAAGTACATGGATTTGAAAACAAAAACTGATTTGTTGACTTGGCAGGCTTAGTGCACATGGTCCAAGGTATTTGGGAGTGGGACCAAACAGATGTAGACCGTGAGATTTGTGGACTTATGAGATTGTGGGGCTTCTGCTGGTCCACATCTTAGGAGCATTCCTATGTTATTTCAAAGTATCTATTTTGAGTGGGTACAGGTCTTTATCTCCAACCAACCACTGGGTCCCTCTTTCTAGTTTTATGTTGGCCCAGGTACAGGGATCATTCAGGACAGTCTTTAATTCTACAGATGTCCAGTACCATTGATTGCAAGCCACACAACTTCAGCAACACTGAAAGCCAGTACTGAACTGTCTACAGGGCCTCTGTCCACCACTAGTTGGTCTGCAATGCCAGGTCCCTTAGAATTCAAGGGCTGTGTCATCTCTTCTAAGACACGCAACCAACACAGTCATTACCACTCTGCCCATAGCAGCCAGAAGACCCACAGTCCCAGCAAGTGTATGTAGGCTTCCTGCCAAGGGCCACCTCCTTTCACAAAACCTTGTTGCACTTTTTTGCTTAGAACCTCCAGGGAAAACAGATGAAAGCAAAGCATCTCCCACCTGTAAGAGCAATAAGAAAAGCACTAGGAAACTGTAAAAACCTTCAGCATGGGTGAGAAGAACATGCAGCAGGGCTGTGCCATTTAAAGCACAGAGTCAGACTACGACCTACCTGTCCCATATGCATCTACAGGGGAGAATCTAGAGAAGAACACACACACCTAAGGACCTGTGGCACATGAGTCAAAAATGACACTTAGTGATGCATCTGAGCAGCGCCCCATCCAGGTCTGTCCCAGGCTCTCCACCCCTACCGAGATGGACTTTCATTCTCACTGAATGGTGCCAGAATAAGAGAGTGCTGAGGGTGGCTCCAGATGAACACATCTCTCTTTAGAGCCAGCAGAAGTCTGAAGATGTGAAATGGGACATGACAATGATCACAAGAACAGTGACATTCAACTGACAGATGGATTCCGACATCCCCACCATGTGCTGCCAACCTGTGTGCGCCATGTTTGCCAGAAACACACAGGCAAGCCCTCCTATCCACTGACGGCCAGGGGATCAGGAGACAGACACAGTCCAAAGATTTCAGTAACCCCAGACTTGGGACCACTGGTTCTCCAAGTCAGCTGGGACTCTGGGTGGATAAGGAACCTTAACCACCACTCCACCTGCTCCCCATCAAAGACCCCGATACTCCCCAGAGATCTCAGAACAGGGGCCCGATAAAGCCCACATGTGATTCAAGAGCATGGGGCAGGATGGAGTCGAAAGCAGGTCTGCCTTTGAAGTTTGCTGGAACAAAGTGTGAACCGACCTGAGAAAAATCAGAGGTAACTTCGCCCCCTGCAGGACACACAGATATTACCGCCCCCTCCACTGGGCGCCTTGGTCAGGCTTCAAGTTCTCTGTGTGCGTCTCTAAAACATCTGCGGGGGGAAGAGGAGGAATTCGGTTAAGAAGCCAGATGTGGGAGCCATTCCACAGCAGACATCTGGTTGCTTGGCTGACATTCCGTCCAGATGGCCAGCAGTTTCTGGAAATAGGTTGCCTGTCCCACCCCTGCCCCACTTGATGAGGAAGTGAGGAGCATGCACCCTAATGCACAGGTTTATCCCATGCCTGGGCGGCACTGGAGACAGAGTGGGACTCCTGTACCCACGTTTTCAAGGAGCAGGGTAATTCACACTGCCGAGTCTTTACCATGGAGGTCGCCTTGCTCCTTACATATTACGGAGAGTAACATTAAACATAACACACTTGACCAAATAATTTCTATTTTGAAAACCTACTACTTACTAATTTGATACATTAAATACTCCCTATACCTTCCTATGAATTATATCATTAGTAATAAATTGCAATTACAGCTTTAATTTTATATTAAATCATACATTGGCCCCATTCAACTGCCTTTCCTGAAGCTGTAAGTCACCACTTGTACAATTAACATAAAAGTCTTATAAACTATGTGGTTGTGGTGTTAAAAAAGCCCGAGATCTGAGCTCCCTGAGCTCTCAAATGCTCGACTGCAAAAACTCAAATTTTATTGTTACAATGAAGCATAAGGAGTGAAGTATGTTAAATATTAATTGCAAAACAATAATTTGCTCAACTTAAAATATCAATTTGGTGTTGAGCAATTAAGTCAGTGTTTGTAGGGTATGAGAAATGAAAATCTGAGAGTTAAATAAATATTGCTTCTGAAGGCTACACCTGTAAGGCGGCTTCCAGAATACGCGTCTCATCCAAAAGTCTGTGGCAACGTTTACATTCACTCACTCTCTCCCTTCTGTCTGTTCAAAAATGCTGGGCATTCACGCTTCAAAATATCATTCAAGACATCATATTTTCCTACTCATGAAGGACATCTGGTGGCAAAGTGAAAAACTAATATATAAATCTGTTTCCAGAGATTTTTTTTTTTCCACGCTGTAACCCAAATAGCAAATCTGTTACTTGTGTGTGTTTCAAACTCTTCACACAAGCTCAGGTCTCATGATTTAGGCAGTCTACATAGTATTAAGCAATGAAGTATTTGGAGACACCCAGATGATTATTATTTTTTAAATTTTTTTTCATTTGACCTGTAGACTAAGTCTTCAAGTTTTTGTTTGCTGAACAAAACAATGCAGAACACGTTTCCAGGACTAGCTTTGCTAACCCTGGACAGTTTTGTCCCAAGAAAGCATTGAACACTTGACTGGGCTGGCAAGGGCCTGAGATGTACCTCTGTGTCAATGAGGAGGTTACATTGAGAAAGTGGCGCATCATGCTACCGATCTCCTTAGGTGGCAGGGCAGTAACCAGTGGTGTGGGTCCAGAGAAACCACACTGAATAAGATCAGGTCAGAATGAGAGGCAGCGACTCTCATCTTTCAAAGGAGGAGAGTAAAACTAATTACCCAGTCTGTCTGCATCCATCCATCCATCCATCTGTCCGTCCATCTGTCCATTTATTCATTTAACAAAGACTGAATGCCTACAAGAAAGTGTTTTAAGTTTGGTGATACCAAACAGAGAACCCCTAGATTCTAGACAGGGAGATGGACACAAGCAAAAGAAAAAACTATGCTATGGCAGGCAAGATGTCGGCACCAGTGATTTCTGCCCCAGGGGTTAGACCTATGAAAATGTGACCATAAGTTAGAAGAGGGCCCTTGCAGATGGCATTAGTGTTGCTAAACAGGTGATCTTAACATACAAGGACTGTCTTGGATCATTAGAGAACCCACTACAATCACATGCATAAAAGGCAAAAGAAATGGGCCACCTGAGAGGGAGCTGGCCTTTCAGGCTTTGAAGATGAAGAGAACACAGACTAAGGGGTGCAGATGACCTCTGGAAGCTGAGAACAAACCCAGCTGACTGCCACAGAGAAAACGGCAGTAGGGCTGGGCCGTTGCTCAGTGGGAGAGGTCCCCACGGCTGGTTCCATTTACTATGCTC